TCCAAGTCAAAACAGGCACAAGTCTTTCAGCCAACCAAATCAGCATTTGGGCTCTGGGCATTAGATTCTACTGTGATTCATCATTCACCTTGTAGACACAGGTTAGTTAAACCTTTTAGGTTATACAAGCTGCCTGTAGCTTCTCTTCTCTTTAAAGTGTGGAGGTCCTGCTCCTCGGTGGATACCTAGGACTGCCTCTGTTGTTGCAGAGGCCGCTCCTCTCGCAAGCCTTGGTTCACTGAGTTTTGTTTGTTCCCTGGTTTGTACCACAATGAACAAACCTGCAGGGATTCAACTTGCCTTTTTGTTCTTTTTTTTTTTTCATTTGAGTTTTAGATTGAGAAATGTTGCTTGGTTCCCAGTGATAATCCCCACCCCTCATTTTCCTTTTAGGAGACAAAAAGTTAAGGGAGAAGTCAGAAAAGATAATGGAAAATCAAGAGGACATGCGGGGGGCACTCCAGCTGACCACAATGAAGCAAGGGAAGAGTCCTTACAAACGCAGCTGTGACGAGGGGGAATCCCACCCCCAAACAAAGAAAAAAAAAATTGACCTCATCTTCAAAGATGTCCTCGAAGCTTCTTTAGAGTCTGCCAAATTGGAAGAGAACCAGTTAGCAACGAGTACACCCATTTCCATCAGAAAAGCGTCTAAATACCAGGCTGAAGACATCTTTGAGAGGTGCAGCAGTGCCATGCAACACAGCTCCCTGAACTTCAGCAGAGATCGGAGTGAGGGGGAATGGAAGGTTCCCCACAGTTCCTCTTTTAGCTCAGCCAAAGAGATGGGGCTCCTTGAAGATGATGAAGAAGAGCCTCTGTCACTCAAAGCAGACAGCCCAACTGAGTTGCTACTGGCCTCTGCTCAAGGCAACTCCCATGAAATCCCCACCACCTCCTTCTGCCCCAACTGTATCCGGCTGAAGAAGAAGATCCGGGAGTTGCAGGCTGAGTTAGACATGCTAAGATCTGGGAAGTTACCTGAGCCACCCGTGTTACCACCTCAGGTACCTGAGCTCCAAGAGTTCTCTGACCCCACAGGTAAGCCTTGCCGAATAAGAACATTCTCCAAACCCTGCCTAAGGAAACTAGTGAGATGCCTGTTTGCTGTGTGCCCATCTAAAACATTTTGCTGTGAATATTCAGGTGAACACTTGGTTCTGTGGAGGATTCGTTATGAGCTTTTGTGAATGGGTGGGTCAGGAGCTGATGCTGTTGGCACAGTGGAAGACATTGTCTGGGAAAGACTTTGTAATGACAAGTTGCTCTATTTGTTTCCATTGTAATCAATAATGCAGTGCCAATAAAAAAGACATTCCATTGCAGACAGTTTGTTTGCTGTATTTTTGATGCATTCTCTTTCAGCGGAAACCCCTCCATGGTGCCTTACATGCCACCAAGAAGCTTTGCTTGAAACTGAATGACTCTGTGGTAACACTGAAATGTGCACTCTTTGTATATGAAATGATGCCCTGCTGTGTCTCTTGTTGGAAAGCACTCTGTTTACTCCACTGCCTTTACACAAACGTGTCCCCTTCCGAAGATACATTTCATTTCCTCCAGGACTGTGCTGTCAAGCAGCCAGTAACCTCCACCAAAGGAATATTTAGGTCACCCTGTATATTGTGAAAGTAGACAGGATTTAATACCATTTCTTGCTGTACAGTGTGGCATGTTGAAGGCAAAGTTCATTAGGAGAAATATTGATTTATTTTCCTTCAAAACCAGGGTTCAAATACTACCAGTAGTGCATGGTGAACAGGAGAAAGCAGAGTATGGCCAGTTGATCAGACAGTGCTTTACTGACACCAATAGGTTGCTTCTGAAGCTCAGCAACTTTCTAAATATCTTGCTTTTTTCTTCCTTCTGTTTTCGTTCTGCAGCTTCAGAAAGCATCATCTCTGTTCCCACCATGATGGAGGACGATGACCAAGAGGTGGATTCTGCTGATGAATCAGTTTCCAATGACATGATTGCTGCTACAGATGAGCCTTCCAAGATGTCTTCTGCGACGGGTCGGAGGATACGGCGTTTCAAGCAAGAGTGGCTTAAGAAGTTTTGGTTTCTGCGGTACTCCCCAACGTTGAATGAAATGTGGTGCCATGTCTGCAGGCAGTACACAGTGCAATCCTCTCGGACTTCAGCCTTCATCATTGGCTCAAAACAGTTCAAGATACACACAATAAAGCTTCACAGCCAGAGCAACCTTCACAAGAAGTGCCTGCAGCTCTACAAGCTCAGGATGCATCCAGAAAAGACAGAAGAGATGTGCCGAAACATGACTCTGCTCTTCAATACAGCCTACCACCTGGCTTTGGAAGGCAGGCCTTACTATGACTTTCGGCCGCTGGCAGAACTGCTGAGAAAGTGTGAGCTCAAGGTGGTTGATCAATACATGAATGAGGGAGACTGCCAAATCTTAATTCACCATATAGCCCGGGCTCTTCGAGAGGACCTGGTGGAACGGATCCGACAGTCTCCCTTCCTCAGCATCATTCTGGATGGTCAGAGTGATGATTTGCTTGCAGACACAGTTGCAGTGTATGTTCAATACACAAGCAGTGATGGGCCTCCAGCAACTGAATTTCTATCTCTTCAAGAACTGGGCTTTTCTACAACAGACAGTTACCTCCAAGCATTAGACAGGGCCTTTTCCAGCCTGGGAATACGATTGCAGGATGAGAAGCCAACTATTGGCTTGGGAGTTGATGGTGCTAACATTACTGCCAGCCTGAGAGCTAATTTGTTCATGACAATCAGAAAGACTTTGCCATGGCTACTCTGCTTGCCATTTATGGTACACAGGCCCCATTTGGAAATACTGGATGCAATTAGTGGGAAAGAGCTTCCATGCCTGGAGGAGCTAGAAAATAACTTGAAGCAATTGCTCAGTTTCTATCGTTACTCTCCCCGACTCATGTGTGAGTTGAGAGTCACTGCTGCCACTCTGTGTGAAGAGACTGAGTTCTTGGGAGACATCCGAGCAGTGAAGTGGATCATTGGGGAGCAGAACGTGCTCAATGCTCTGATCAAGGATTACCTTGAGGTTGTGGCCCATCTCAAAGATGTCAGCGGACAGACCCAAAGGGCAGATGCTTCTGCAATTGCCTTGGCCCTCCTGCAGTTCTTGATGGACTACCAGTCAATTAAACTCATCTACTTCTTGCTGGATGTGATTGCTGTGCTTTCACGCCTTGCCTATGTCTTCCAAGGGGAGTACCTTCTTGTGTCGCAAGTGGACGATAAAATAGAGGAGGCTATCCAGGAGATCAGTCGTCTGGCAGACTCACCTGGGGAGTACTTGCAGGAATTTGAGGAAAACTTCCGTGAAAGCTTTAATGGCATTGCTGTGAAAAACCTACGGGTGGCTGAAGCCAAATTCCAGTCAATCAGAGAAAAGATCTGCCAGAAGACCCAGGTGATCCTAGCCCAAAGGTTTGATTCCCGGAGCCGGACATTTGTGAAAGCCTGTCAGGTATTTGACCTTGCAGCTTGGCCCAGAAGCACTGATGAGCTCATGAGCTATGGGAAAGAGGATATGGTACAAATATTTGAACACCTGGAGACAGTCCCATCGTTTTCCAGAGAGGTTTGCAGAGAGGGGATGGACACCCAAGGGAGTTTGCTGATGGAGTGGCGAGAACTCAAGGTGGATTATTATACCAAAAATGGTTTTAAAGACTTACTCAGTCACATTTGTAAATACAAACAGAGATTTCCCCTCTTAAATAAAATAGTTCAGATCCTCAAAGTCCTTCCCACCTCAACGGCCTGCTGTGAGAAGGGGCGCAATGCCCTGCAGAGAGTGCGCAAAAACAACCGCTCTCGGCTCACGCTGGAGCAGCTCAGTGATCTTTTGACAATTGCTGTTAATGGACCACCCATTGCCAACTTTGATTGCAAAAGGGCACTAGATAGTTGGTTTGAAGAAAAATCAGGCAATAGTTATGCACTGTCCGCTGAAATGCTGAGCAGGATGTCCTCTCTTGAGCAGAAGCCAGTGCTGCAGAGCATGGACCATGGCTCTGAATTTTACCCCGACATCTAGGAAGGAATGCCTCAGATCAGAAAGCTGTTGAATAATTTTTGTTTTTAATCTATACTCTAAACTTTGATATATTATAAAATATATATATATTATATATATATTAAGGAAAATCCCACACTGAAAAATTAAGAGTTAGGGCGATGTGCGTCTGATAGAAGCTAAGCAGAATTTTAAAGATTGAGACAATGTTTAAAAATTTACTGGTGTCTCCAACCATGGCAGCTGCAGTGTAGGTGGCAACATTTCATTCTTTAGAAGCTGTGTGCTGGGGCCATACTCTACATGTTCAGCCCTAACAATCTATAAGCTAGATGACAAGTCTTTGTCAACCTCCTTCTCCCAGTGGTTTCCGTTTCCTTCCTATGGGCGTCCTTGGTTTGTTGAGTTGTTTGTTTGTTTGTTTGTCTTCTCAGTTGTAATCTCTGCCTCTCTTTTCATTGTTTAGTCCAGTTATTGAGCCATTTGAGCCTTTTGTTGACGACAGTCAGATTTCTGATCTCCGACAGAGCATCCCATGTGTTTGTGTTGTCCCTGCAGCTCTCCAACTCCACCTAGTTCTCTTGATTAGAGTGGAAGCTTTCTTCACTCACAAAGATTACTGGGAGGAGGCAAAGACTTGGGACAGGGTTATTTTGTTTCCTCTGGTTTAAAAACAAATATCTACACTAAACTGTGATGCCTCTTCCTCCGTTCTCCCTACTTTTTTGGGCTGTAGAGTAATAGTTGGCTTTCAGCTCCTTTTATTATAACCGTAGTACCAGTCTATCATACCTATATTATAACATGATGTCGTGTGCAGACTATAAAATAGCAAAATAGAGAAGGCAGGGGGAAATTTTTGCATTTATATTTTTATATTGTAGGAGATAAAAATATATATATACAACTATTCATTCAAAACCAGGGCTGCTGTGGAAGCTAGACAGCCAATGAGTCAATAGCCATCTCTGGGCAGAGATTCAAAGGCTTAAAAATATATTCTAATTTACATTATTTATACTATGTCTTTATAATCCTAGATTGTCGTGGGTTTTTTGTTTTGTTTTGTTTTTGGAATGAGTGAAAGAAAAACCTGCTGCAGTTTGGTGGCAGGGGCTATCAATGCAAGATTTATCTTGGATTATAATCATGTGATGATGTCCTATATAAAGGTTCACGTATTCTCTTGTGACCAAGGTAACATGTTCCACAGCACAGTAGACTGATGACAGCAGGAGGAAGGGATGCTATACTTCTTCCTGTGAAATGTTTCTTCCTTCCTTGAAGGGAGGCAGAGTCAAGCAGAAATGTGAATGGGGGACTTGCACCTTCCATCACAAAATAGATTGTTTTGAGAGCTTGGGGTTCTGTTTTATTCTTTTAAAGTAAACGAACTCCGTGCGCTCACGAAATATCACTTCAGGTTAGAAAAGCAAAAAAAAAAAAAAATTAAAAAAATATATTAAAAAAGGTGCAAAAACTCCACAGATGCTAGTGCCTTGCCCTGCTGATGTGGCATGGACAGCACCAACCTGACCAGAACATCATGGGAGTGAGAACCTGTTGTCTAGAAGGTGTCAGAGCTGACATGTTCTCACTCCCCAGAGGGATGAGCTTTGTGCCAAGCTGTGTTGTTTGGAAACATGACGGTGGTATCAGCAACACTGAACCTTTCCTTTCTCCTGTTACCCCCCTGCCCTTGGTCTTGGTGCTAAGATATCTCTAGAACCGTTGCTGCTAGTTGATAGCTTTTCATTTATATAAATATATATATATATAATATTATTTTATTTTTAAAACTTTTTTGTTTGTTTTCAATGAAGATGTAGCATGTTTGGAACCGATCTCTCTCAGAGTCACTTTCACTGCCAGGGTTCACGCACTGTCTTCCCCAAGAAAACACGCACTTCTACCTAAATCTCACTCACCTCCCACTAACCAACTTGCCATAAGCAGAACTGTACAGTTAAGATCAGGCAGAGATGCGTAACTACACCACTACTTGCTCAGCTTTTAAACCCGTGGAAAAGGCTACACTGCTATATGTCAAGAGTTTTGGAAATGTTTCCCTCTATTCCTATGGTTGTAGAATTAGTTTCAGACAACACTATGGTGAGGAGAGACTGAGACTGTTTGAAGCACTAGTAAAGGTCAGTCTTTGCGTTCATTGTCCCGACTCTGCCGCTTTTGCTGTAAAACAGGGCTGCTTGGCTGGATAGTTTGGAAGGGGCAGAGAAGACCCTCCAAAGGTTGCAGCGGTAGCTGAGCAGATGGGATCGTGTCTGTAGCACTTAATCCCTTTCCCTTCTGCCTCGCCCCAGACTGTATGGTCAGACTGGGTGCTTGTTGAGACGCGGGAGAGCGGGCCTGCTGGGTGGCACCACGGGTGCATCCGCGCTGCGGGGCTGAGGCGCGGGTGACCAAGCATCCCTGGCATCCTCCTATAACGTTGTGAGTTAGGTCAGGACATTGCTCCGCGTTTGCGCAGGCATGACAGTATTTAACATCTAGCAAGCAAGACCAAGCATTACGTGCTTTTTTTTTTCCTTTTTTTTTTTCCTCAAAAAGTTATGTGAGCGAGTTGACCCGTTCATCCAGAGGAGTAAGAATGAAAGAGAATATCCTGTGCCACCACACAGAATAGGCAGTTTGTTCTTTGACCATAAGAATAATGTCTGTGTGTAAGGAGTTTGTAGACGCTCCAGGCCTGGAGAGCAAGCTTTGTTCATGATGCTGTCCTAAAGCTCACAAATCTGTTTCCTTCAGAGGAGCTGGGCTGCCCCTTCCTAAATTAAAATTTGAGGAGATGTAAAGAAGAAAAATAATATTCCCTGTAAAAGCATTGCTGTTCCTTTAAACTCTAATTTGGAGATGGGCTAGGTAAACCTAGGTCTTGGAGACAAGAAATGAATCCACCCGCCACTGGGGAATGGGCAGATGGCAAGGGAATCTCCTTTTTTTAGATATATACAAATGTCTGGAAAACTGCAGCAGCAGAAACAAAAATATCAAAAGAAGATATGTGAAAGAAGCTGTAAAGATAGTTCCTCTCCTCCCCCTTTTTCCTTTCCCTTTGCTCAGCTCTATAGCTGAGAAAAAAGAAAAGAAAAGAAAAGAAAAGAAAAGAAAAGAAAAGAAAAGAAAAGAAAAGAAAAGAAAAGAAAAGAAAAGAAAAGAAAAGAAAAGAAAAGAAAAGAAAAGAAAAGAGAAAGAGAAAAGAGGAAAAAAAAACGAAAAAGAAAAAAAAAGCCCTTCAGTTATAGCAGCAATAAAAGTTCCTTGGTATGTGGCTCTTTTTCACAGAGGCCCATGAAACTGCCTGGCACTCCTGCTGGAAAGGGACGCTTGCGGACAGTTTCCAGACACCTTTGTAAACAGACACGTTTTCTTAGTGCTTGTGTTAAGGCCATCTAAAAGGCCTGTTTGCAACTTCTGTTGTGATCTTTACTTTTGCCACTAGTTGCCTTTGTTGGTAACATAAAAGCTGCCAGAGCCTTTTCATAATGATCTGGGTAACTCCTTATCCCTTTTCCTTTTGTTTGCTTGCAAATCCCAATATTGTCGGGCTCCTCTTTCACTGGGAGCTCTTAGTCCTAACTGCAGTGAAACGTGCAGAGTGTGTTTTTCCTCCAGGCAGTCTACAAAAAAAGAGGAGAAAGCGTTTCTTTCTCTTACAAAAACCTTGTATGCATTTGTGAAACAGTGTCAGTAAGGAGAATGATTCCCTCTGACTGGATGTTGCTGATACGTGTGAACTGGAAAGGGACAAGATTACTTGTCCTTGGTTGTGGGCGGAAATCAGCATTCAGTGTAACAGCCAGCCCAGCCGGAGTCTTGCAACACAAAGAAATCCTCATTGCCTTTGCATCAAAAACTAAATCGAGCCTTTCTACAAGACAAATGCAGGTGCTTTGGAAGTTTTCCCTCTAGGTTCCCTGCCTATCTCAGATCTGTAGCTGTTGCTCACATGGATAGTCCTGTGGATGGAAACGTGACTACAGGCACGAGGGCGAGCTCAGCAGAGAGGAATGACAATGCAAAGAGCCCTGGGCTTTTTAGCATCCTGCTCAGCGAGGCTTCCCTGAAAGCAGGTGCTTTTCTGTGCCGTTTCTGCAAATCCAAGCTAGTGTCTGAGGAGGACAGGACTGGCTGGGCTGTGGTGAGGCCAGAGGGCAGTGACGGGCTGCTCTCACACGGCAGCCGGTGCAGCCTGGGCATGGCCGTGGCAGGGGCACTTGCTCAGCTCCTAAGGAAGCCAGGTCAGAGAGCTGGGACACTCTTGGAGGTAGGAGATCACTGCAGCTCAAGTTTCATCAATTCCCTCCCTGCTACTCTGAGCCAGGAGGAGGTTGTTTTGAACCTATTACAGCATCCTGAACAGCTTCAGTGGCAAAGCTAAATGGTTTAATTTTTCTTGAGTGAGCTTTTTATCCTCTTTTTTCCCCCTGTTCTTATCAAGGGCATCTGACTGTGAATAATACACACTTCTCTGGACCCTTGCCTTTGAATTTCTTGCCCATGGGTTTTTTTGATTGCCAGTTTCTCCTGCCTGCTTTTCGCTCAGGCTCCTCTACTCTTTTACTCTGCTGTAGAGCAGAAATCCACTAAGCACATTCAGACTCTTCCTCTACAGGGCTCACTAGTGGCTGCAAGAAGTCTAGGCCTCCTGGCCAAGAGACTGATCACGACAGGGACAATCCTAATGGAACAGAGACCAAAGCTCTTCCCGTGCCAGCAAAAGTGCAAGGGAGGCACAGGGCATCTGTGAGGACACGCAGCGGGCAAGGTCCTGGCATGCTGCCTGCAGTGGTCTTGGACTGACCTTGTCATTATCCTCTGTGCTGCTTGCACTTCTGCTGATACGAATTCTCAGACATGATTCAGGCTCAGTCTGTTTCTTTCTCACAGCACAAATTCAGTCAGGTGGCCCACAAGGTCTTTGGGATTCCTCTTTTTTCTTATCTCATTACTATTGCTGTTTGTTCGACCAATGGGTAAAACAGTCCAAGCAGCTGGCTTGCAAATAAGCAGCAACATCCTCTGCTTTTGCCAGATTCCCCTCTCAGCCCTCTCAAAAGAGGTCTTAAAAGCAGAGAAATGGTACGTTGCTCCCCCGGCCGTTGTATTCAATGCAGTAATGCCTATGCAATTCCTGTCTCCCTTGGGGACATATATGATGTGTGTGCATGTAAGCTAGTGTATGTATACAGTACATATGCATACAGTCTATATATTGTATATACGCACATCCCAGTACATATACACACAGTACAAAAACTAAAATCACATGCTTATATATCTATAAATAAAATCCTATATATTTATATATTTCTATGTTTTCAATAGATATAAAGATATAATATAGAGATAGAATCAACTACCCTTGTGTAAGGCTGGCCCTGTGTTCTGGCACAAGGCATGTAAAACTGAAGACTTTGGACTTAGGGAGAGTTTTAGCCATACACTGAGGCCTACATTTACATGTATAGCACTCTACATTGAGGGGCTTTGCTGTGGTTAGGGCAAGGGGATTCCTTGCTGGTGTGTTACTCAAGTGCTAAATAGGGTTTGTGTAATAGAGGAGTATCTTGGTGTGGGAAAATGCTTGAGTGTCCTTGTCTTCTGAGTAAGCCTTGGCTAAGGTCCTATGTGTTCACACTTGGACAGATACATATCCCACTCTCATATGCACTTTTCTCTCTCTATATGGATGTGTTTGGTAACTGAGGGTACTCGGGCCATGAAGATGTGGCTCTCTGCTTTACCCACTTGACATTGCTTGGCAGTCACTGACACAGTGGAGGGAAGAACCCATGCTCTGCAGATGCTGGTACAGCACAGTGTGAGAGGGTTCATTCTTACAGTATGTCTCACACTGAGTTGTCAGTCAGTGATACGGTGACAGAGCTGGAATAAAGCAAATGGGAAAGCAAACGCGTTACGGATTTGAGGGACTGTTGCTGTCACATGGTCAGAGATGGAGGAGATTATGTGTGGAGATGGAGCAGCACGAATGAAAAGGGACCATGAACTGGGAGCCATAAGGAGAGGAGCACACAAGCCGAACGGCAGGCCTTGCGTGCGGCCACCTCAGACCGCAGGCACTACCGCTGCGCTCACGCAGCCGGGCCTTCCTGCTGCGCCTCCTCGGGCCTCACGGCTGCCCCTCGGTTGGTAGCTCGCCTGCCTGCCTCATGGCCTAGCAGGCTTTTTGGGAAGGAAGGGAATAGTTTGGTAAGTGGAAGACACAGTCAGTGTTATCGGTTAAGCCCCAACACATGGAGTGCTGAGGTTGCCAAACGGAAGTGTATGTATACAGTACATACATATACTGAAGTACTTAAGGGTTCAGCCCTCTTGCCTGTCCCTTGCAGAGACACCTGTTTTCACAGGAGTGATGTTTCTGTGCTGGGACTTCGGGTGGATCTGGGCAGTTGCTTTCTTGGATCAACCTTTCCAGAGTATCTGCTGATGTCTGCAGGATGGATAGCCACCTTGTCCCTCTGCTCCTTTCGTCACACAAAAGCTGTTCAGAGCCGTTCCTATCACACTGATCCAGCTACATAGTGAAGCTGTTGATTTGCACCTAGGAAGACCTGTGAGGCTTCTTGTTCAAAGCTAGTAAGTGGTAAAAGTATCACTACTGCTGCTCCCCCAAGAGGGGGCTGTTGAATTGCCAGAGGAGAGGGATGGAGGTTTGGCTTTGCAGCTCTCTTGTCAGGCCTAGCAACCACTTCACTTCTTGCTTTTCATTTTAATTTTTAATTTCTGTTGGGAGGAGGGTGAATTTTAACTCTTGACAGTTGAATGACTGGTTACACTGGTATTGCATGAGCAGATGCTGTGCAAGCTTCCCCCCAAACTCTGTCACACACCTCAGTGCCCTCACCCAGGCCTCCTGTCTCCTCCACACAACTGGTAATCCACCTCAATCACTACCTGCCCTCTGAGAGCTTTCCTCTCTGCTGCGGCTGCACGCTGCGCTCAATGGCACCTCACCACCACAGCAGAGAGCAGAGCTCCCTAGCACTTGTTCATCATGAACCTCAGAGATGGTTTCCCCACTCCCAGCTTTCTCCTTCTCATGCCACTGACATTTATGGAAACTCGGCAAACTTGCTCCCAGGCCCCATGCTGCCAGCGGGGAATTCCTGCCTGGCATTGGACTCTCATGCACTGCACCTCATGTTGAATAAGCTCCCTGGGCTCAGTGGGGGAACCATGTCTCATATGCTGTAATGTAATGAATGCTGTAGGAGGGCTATAAAGTTTTCTGCCGATTAGGCATCCTCATAGACTCATCCAACTGTTTGCAA